CCGTCAAATCAGTATTTCCAGAAATTCGGATTTTGAGCCATTCTTCGTTGAAAGTTTGTGTACCAATTTTGTAACGTGGACAGGGGCACCAGAGTTTCGCTACTCAGTGGCGGAAGTTGTTGTGGAGTCACCGTAAAACTGGACGCATAATTGAAAAAACTTTCTAACATTTTTTGACTAAAGTGCAGATTTGCGTTGGCGTTTTGCTGTAAAAAATAGTAAATAAATGTTTCATTGTTAGTGGATTAGTTTTAGTGATCTAGTATAACATACAGCAGCGTTCAAAAACCTTATGGTGTTCTTGGATCGTGGTAATCAATCGGAAACCCAAGTGTGCAAGGATCACATTTAAATTAGGTTAATAAAGTAATGTAAATATAACACAAAGGTCACAAACCAGAAAAGAAAACAAGCATTTAAAAAAAAACTTGACAGTCGGAGCTTAAATGCTTTGGTTATACAGTTGCCCATTTGATCAAGCTATTTCTTAGTCGGCCTTTTTTGATTTTTAAACAAACTTAAATTATTCCAAATATCAGAAATCGAAAGAAGGTGGAGCTCAAAAGTACATAGTTATCTATGCTTTTTATACCAGAAACATCTGCTTTACTGTTTTGGCGATATGCTAAAGCTGTACAGTTTGTAAAGCTTGAAATACTTTAGCTATTCCTATAAGTTCGATAAAAAAGAATATCCACTTGTGCTCATTGAATTAAGTTACCAATATGGTGGAGTAAAAAATGGACCTAATGTATGGGATGGACTTCCGAGTTGAAATAATTGAATCGGTGAGTTCGAAACCTGGCATGTCTAAAACCACTTTTTGGACTTTAAGTCATTTTAAAAGTTTGCTTGATAACCAAAAGATATTTACTTTTTAGTCAGTTATTCTTCATACCATACTATTAGTATCCAATTGGTAATCTTCTACAATGTATGTACGTATTTTTTAAGCTTCAAGCCTGAAGAAAATGCAGGGAAATCGTCGTATGACGAACAATGCAAGTTAACGAATACCCTAACGTGCTATGGGGTCATTTGGAATCTGAGAACGTCTATTGGGGATTTAGGCTCATTTCTTGCTGGAAACCTGAATTCTTTGTATGATTTGTTGTTGCTTATTACTCCTTTGACACCTTATCGCGAATTTTCTACGAATAAGCCTCCCGTGAGTAGATATTTTCCTCTAATATTCGTACTCAGATTTATGAACACAACTGCATGTACATACATATGTACATTAGAGTGGTTAAAATTTTTGGGAAAAAAATTCAACGTAGAAAACCGGACACTCGCTTGGTTTTTTCCAATTTTCTCTGTACACGTTTTGAAACTTTCAAAAATACTGATTTGTATAAAAAGCTACCATTGCCATGACACCTGTAGCTGGAAATATTTTTCCAGCTAATTTAGGTTTGAAGTACTCTTCGGTTGTTTAACCAATTGTTTGGTTAATATATGTACAATATACTTCTTGTGTAAAATATTCGGGCAGGTTCCGGAATTCACTTCCGAGTGAATTTCAACCCCGGCCCATTTGAATTCAAAACGAACTTTACTCAAATTCACTCTGAAGTGAATTGCCAAACCTGCCGGATAAACTTTTCATGAGCATCCTCCAAGTTTATACCTAGAAATGTAAAGTTAGGTGACAGCAACTCTCTGGGCAAGAGTAAAAACTTTGGGAGGTGCCCCGACCCCAACTCGGAAATATTTTATTTTGGACCACTCTAATGTACATATGTATTTTGCCTTATCCAGAGTTTCGCCCGAAAAACTCGAAAATCTTTCATCTGCCCATAGTAAATACATGGCGACAAAAAATTAACCGGTTCGGGAAAAATGAAACTCAAGATTAGGCTCATTATGTATGCTTTGTTTAAGATTGGCAGCCGTAACTCTAAATATGTATGTATTTTCAGTTTTATTATGAAGTAGATTTGATACTGCATAATTATGTTATGACTGCTTCCTCTTTTTATTTTAAGCATATTTACTGGATGTTTTAATCAATTCCACTTACCACTGCCGGCGTTAGGTGAGAAATTGTTAGCTCCGGTTCCACTGATATACCAATTTGTGCAGTACACGAAATCTCTTGTGCTCCGAAAATCATGCCGTTTTCCGCTGCCTCCAGTTCATTGCTTTTTTTTAACTGAGATATTTTAAAGATCGCTGACGGTTTGGCGTTGGAGACGTAGCCCAAATATTGCCATGTTGGAGCTGAATTTGCATCAGGCCAGCTAAAGTATACCGCGGCTGCTGTACCTTCGGGAAGCGCTGTTACACCAGTCAAGAATACCACAATATAGTTCACATGATCAATGTCTGGTACGTTGATAACAACCTTATTCTCATCCACGGGTGTGAAGTCGGTTTGCGGCTACAAACATAGGGATTCGTTCTATGTTTATAATTGGTAAATTGAACAATAATATCAGCTCACTTACCAAACGTCCCGAAATTATCAATCCAAACATCCTAAACGTATTTATCCACGGAAAATCAAATGATGTTCTAGAACAATTGACAAAACAACGCGTTGTACCTGCTTGTTGCCGCATAAATAACAACAAGCGATCAGCTGTTTTCCAATATGCTTTAACCGCAAGGTTGCCATCACCGCAGCTAATTGCGCAACCAATATTGCGCAATATTATTTTAATTATTGCGATTCCTTCTAGAATTTCGCGTGTTCGTGCGCAGCAAATTAACCAACAGGTTAATACAAAATCAGGAACACAGCAAGATAACCAACCGTTCAGCTATGGGAAAACTAAAAATGCAGACCAATAGTACTTTTTACGCTGATTTCAACTATGGCCCTGTGAAGGTAGTTCCATTGTCACTTTTCGGGCGCCTTATTAACTACCTGACAATTAAGCAGATTGTGGCATTTCGTGCTGCTATACCTAATACTCAATAATCATTTATTTATTGTAAAAAAAGTATTTACAAAATTAAAAGAAAATTAGTCTTCGATCTGAGCAATAAAGAAAATTGAAATTCATACATCACCATATTTGAAAAAACAACAAACTAACTTTTTCTTTGAAATAAAAGATCGGTAGATATGTTGTCCATCGAAAAAATTAGCTATTTTGTTATGGACGATAGGAGGTACTGCCGGTTGAACTGGCTTAAGTGCAGTTCCCCAGAGAAAAGTCCAAGAGAGCCAGTTTTGGGGCCATAATTGAAGATTCGATTATGTGTGATTCCGGGCTCAGTTCTGGTATTAAACCAGCATTCAGCCTCAGGGAACTAAACATTATAGAATCTCTTCAACAAAGGTAAAGGTGGCGTACTATTCTGTGGCATTGAAAATACACGAGTGCTCAGATTCCGCTAGCAATTTCCGCCTTGCCCCACTCAGTGTTATAGCATAATCC